ACTTCAGATTTTCCTAAAGTAACTAAGATTGGGAATTTATAAAAGGTTTATTTACTTTATATTTATCATTATACTTATAATGAGAATTATAGTCCTTGTCCTACCCATTCGGCTAACGACCCTCCACCAATCAAGGAGGCAGTAGGTGAGAGTGGACACCCATTAAGCTGCCATTTTATAGGCAACAACCTTATACCCCCTTATAGATCGGCTTCATGAATGAGGCCTACTAACGGTAAGAATGACTTGATCTTATATATATATATATATATATATATATATATATATATATATATATATATATATATATATATATATATATATAAACTTATAATACTATAAAGTATAAGGGTTGAAATTTAACTTTTAAAACTCTAGGGTTTGGAATTAAAGTGTGTGAGACTTTACTAATTCTAAAACTTGAGGGCAAGTTTTGAAACTATTCAAAAACTTTTCAACTTCATGACATATGAGTTTAATGGTTCTTGAAAATGAGACTCTTCATTTTTATAACCCATGACTTTTAATGATCCATTTAAAAGAAAACATTTGGAATTCCATAACTTGAGGACAAGTTATGGAGTCTATTAAAATCATCAAGAATAACAATTCAACTAACAAGAATGTTCAAGTTGTAAATTAAACTCATATGATTAAGGTAATTCAAATCAAACAAATTCCATGTAATTTAGATTAATCATATAAACTAAAACAAAATATGAAATTTTGACAATCACCTTTCAATTGGACAAGCAAGAACATTACCCTCTTGAAAAACAGGTTTCTAGGTTCAAAAATCAGTTTAGGGTAATAATCATCATCCAATACCAAGTAAAACCCTGAAATTATGCATACAGGGGCATCACCACATCGTGGTGAGCAGTCAGATGCAAAAAATGATAGAATTTCAACTTTAGAAAAACATGTAGCATCAAGTATAATTGTAAACAAGCCTAGGCTCTGATACCACTAAAGGGTTTTGAGCATCCTAACACTCCTATGGTGTACATGCAACCATAGAAAACATGTTTTCTCTATTATACATGCAAATATGATTTTCCAAGGTTCTCATCCTAACTAACATTCCATGGGGTACTTATAATATAAAACTTGGTGGGATGACATACCTTTTTCTTGTGGTTGATTCCTTGGAGCTTCAAGAGCCTAACACCAATAATGTGGATGCCTCAAGTGGAATCACAAATCACCAAAACACCTTGGAAAAATTGAGAGAATAGTAATCACACTAAAAATTGGCCCACTTTTTTTCACTCACACACTAGTGCCATTTCATGTGCCAAAGATCTCTTTATATAATATGGAGGATTAAGGTTACATTCATGTAAACCCTAATACCCATGACCTTTCATTTCCATAAGATCCATGGGTTAAAAACTCCATGGACTATCCATGCAAGCTTAGCCCATCTTAAATGAACTTGGCCCATTCTCTCTCTCTCTCTCTCTCTCTTTCTTTCTTTCTTTCTTTCTTTCTTTCTTTCTTTCTTTCTCTCTCTCTCTCTCTCTCTCTATATATATATATATATATATATATATATATATATATATATAAGAGTCTATATTTAATTAGTTCCTTTTTGATCACTAAATTAATTCTTGATCAATACTAGTTAAATAATATGATTTCATATCAATATATTATAAATTAGAATATATTAATAAACCATACACATACTATTCTCAAAAGACTATCCATACAAATTGTTCCAGTGAAGTTCAACCCAAATGGACCATTTTACTCTCGGGTCAAGTACATACCAATAATAATTATGAGCTTAGTCATCTAATCCAACACTATCTGTTTGTGCGACTTTCGCATTTGCATGATTGGGCTAGGACCATTGATTTGGCAGGGCTAGGCCCAATATGGTGGGTCAGGCCCAATGTACGGGCTAGGCACAATGTGAGGGTTTAGCCTAATGGTATATATGGTATATGGTATTTTAAGAAAGTCACTAAGATTTGTGCTTATGATTTTTATGGTTATGGTTTCAGGTACTCATGTTCAAAAGGGAAGGGCCCGACATGATCGCAGTGCATCCATCCATATTTAGACATAATGATGATTTTGAGATTGTACTCTGATAATTGTTTTGTTATAAAGTACTATTGAATATTTATGAAAATGATAATGAATGTTTGACCTAAAGATAATTAATGTTTTAGTTGAATTAAAAATGAATTTTTTACCCCATAAATTTTGGGACATTACACCTCAATGATTAACATCGAGTTTGGTGCGTCAGGGTTTGGACCTTAAAGGTTCATCTATGGTGGATTCTCTTAAAAATGGAGTTGAGTGATTTTGGATTAATATATTTTCTACTCCAACAATTTATAATCAATTCTCAATCTAAACAATCATTTAACACCATGAGATTCATTTGTAGGATCTATATGTTGAGTATGAGCTTAATCTGGGTTTCAGTGGCTACTCATGAATTTGAGGGTTTAATTTTAATGATTTTTCAAATTTTGTTGGAATTATCTACCTTGGATGAACCAGGTCATTTTAATGGTTAAATTGCAAGAATGGGTTGATGGAAAATAATTGGAGGATAAATTGGAAGCTAATGTTGTAAATCAAGTTTTGAGTTTATCTACTCTAGAATCACCCATTAGGACCAATGATTCCAGTTGAATTAGACATTCCAAGGATCGTGGATAACAATGGAAGTGGTATAAAGGTTATAGAGTAATAAGATGTTAGATGTCTAGATAAGCTTTCCTTTAGCTCTTATGATGTCTAAATGACTTCACCGTTAAGACATTGGTCAAACATGGGTATTTGTGTAAAAAATAGTCCAAAAACCCCCCTTTAAAAGGAATTATTGAGCTAAAATCGAGAAGCTTAGTTTAATCCATAATCCATCAATGCTAGGGAAGCCATGAAAGTACTAAATCAAGTGTAATAAACTTCTTAAAGTATGCCAATCATTGAAAAAGGTTAGAAATAGGTTTGGATGGTTTGGGTGAAACAATAACCAAAATACATAGTCTAAAAAAGAAAAAAAATGAAGCAATCATCACATCTCATGCGGTCTGCATGAGATCTGCACCATCAGACTCAGTTCCCAATCAGGTTTCTGATGGTTTCATGTGGTCAAGATGTTACACCCCTGCGAACCGCATGGGATGTGTGTGTTGGGACCAGAACTTATAACAACTGTAACTTTTGCATTCGACCTCCAAATTAGTATATATTTTTTCCCTATATTCAGTTCTCAACATAGTGATGAATTTTAATTAGAAAAATTTTAGATTTAGGATTAAGATCTTAATATGTGATTTAATGGGATCGTGACATATCTAATGATATTTTTAGTTGATGTTTAAACTCTGGAGCATTCTTGAAATAGAAGAGAAGTACTAGAAGATACTAAATGAATTTAAGGTTAGTTACAAAGAGTACAAGTCGTAATACTGATTTCTTATTTTATATGCTTTCTATACAATTATATGCTAGATATACTTTGAGATGTTGAAATTATATGATGTTTTCACTATGTGTAATGTGTTACTATATGTATTATTGTGCATATCATGATTTTTATTGGAAAGTACATTGATAATTTGAAATATTATTGACTGGAAAACTAATTTTTGAGCATCCATATAAATATACATGTAAAATGGGAGATTGTAGGTGTCACTCATGATACCCGAAGGGGTTTGATAATTTAGGTGTTGTTAAGTCGACGTGTGAGGATATTTCTAGATAATGCTCACGCTACACATATACTCTTTGCTACCCCTTGTATTCCTAGTGTGATTGTTCACTAGTATCTAGTCTATACTTGAGAAAAAGGGGGGAAAATAATCTCATGAGCTCGAGAGAAAAAAAAGGGAGTAAATTATCTCATAAGCTCGATGTTAACCATGTACTTTGCTGAGTTGGAGTTTACCAGATGGGAGACGGTTAACAATAGATGCATTCATTGTATATCAGTTAATAATTTATCCCTTATTTACCATTTTTGATGTTTGAGATGATTTATTGATATTTGTTACCTAATGCTTGGCCTTTTATTATTTTTGGAGTTATGAGTCATTAGAACCCCTTTATTTTTTGGCGTCACTGAATCCCACTGATTAAGTTATTACTCTTGATTTTGGTTTGCAGATTTTACAACCTTGGATTTGAATATAGGTTCATATACTTTTCACATTTGGTTATTTGAGTCTTAGAACTTTATACCTATTTTGGTTGTTTTGGGTCTAATTAACCCTAATTTGATTTATGATGTTTTTATGATTTTTGGATGTTTGATTTGACTAATTCGATTGCTATCTATTTACATAAATTGAATGAGTCTCTGATATTTTCACTAGCCATTTCATTTCCTAACTTAATTTGACGTAGTCTCAAATGGAAGACTATAGAGGCAATATTCGAATTAGAAAAGACTTTTTAGATGGTCATAACATGTGTGGTTTATTAAACTATGTTATGATATTTTTATTGTTACATTATCACTATTTGAAATTTTAAACTTCTTTTGAATTATGAGACCCTAATTTCTCAACCTAAACTTTAAAACTTTTAGGATTTAAAAATCAATGATTTTAAAAGGTTGTTTAAAATTGACCTCCATGAGTGGTGTTTCACTTGGTTATAGTTTGATAATCTCACATTGATATCGCCAAGATTTGGTAAAAAAATATTGCAGGACAATTATTTATTTTCAGATGGCAAGGGTGTTAGTTCTTAATTTGTGGTTTCACAATCATGGCTCGTGCGATCTTTGGTTATTCGGTTAACTCTTCTTTTAATTTAGGGACCATGTATTTTGGGTAATTGGGGTGGTGATTCGTCATTGTCTCATTGACCAGAATCTTGTATCGCATCAGACTAACATTCACATATACTTTTGCCAACAACATGTATGTATGTACGTATGTTTACATGTATATATGTGTTAGTGTGTGAGTGTGAGTTTTATAACTTGTTAATGAATTGGAAGGGATGAAAAGAAAGGGATAGAATTAAGTTGATTATAGTAATTATCTTTTTTTAATTATGAAATGAAATAGTGCAACAACCCATGGATATCATCCCTTATTTGGGAAGCTACAATCTATTCGCAATTGACCATTGGGTTTGTAGCCAAAAATTTACCCTTAGCGTTATTGCAGTAAGCAAAAACATTTTCTCCAGAGATTCTAACTTCGTTGGTTGTGATTTTAGTGCACTTAAACCTCCCGCTGCAATTGAAAGTAATTGCTTGCTTATTTGATGAAGTCCCATGTACATTAATATACGTCACGTCACTCACTTTTACTGCTTGCATTGATGGCTAAACCAACAAAAGAAAAGAAAAGAGTACATGTTAAATACTCGAACATATATCGATCTTCGGTTATAGATGAAGAATGAGATTGTTGTTATCAAGAACACAACTCACCGGTGCTGGGCAAAAGGCATCTAGAGATTGACTGCAGTAATGTTGATCAATTATAATTGGATTTTTAACATCTACGAGATTAATGTCCTGAAATAAGATCCCCTTCGCATACCCCCTCCCATTCTACATTATAACAAATCGATTAATCAAAACACCTTTTAAAACCATTAAAAAAAATCGTATCAACTTAGTTATATGTAACATTACCGGTACTGTTTTGATTCGTAATCCATTTGTTGTTCCTGTGAGATTACAATTTTCCACACGTACTTGTTCCACTGTATGATAATCACCATTTTTCCCAAGGCTTCCGATGCTTCAAAACAAACCCAAAGAGTGATGGAAATTTTGGGTAATTAAAAGCCATTAGAAGATTATCATGATCATCATATATATGTCGTCTTACCTTATGCCATGACCAGGTCCACATATCACTCTTGTTATATTGATATTAATGGTGCCACCATTAATAGCCACACAATCATCACCTACATAAGTGTATCAAAAGGGTTGACAATTACATATCATAAAAGAAAGTACTATGAAATCAGAAGTATAATTAATATCTCATACCAGTTTGAATAATCGAGTCATGGATGTTAACAATGGACGATGAACTGATGTCGATTCCATCAGTATTTGGGCTGTGATCAGGTGCATAAATTTGAAGATTTCCAACATTTACATTATTGCAACCATTAATGCCAATATGATGGTTTGGGCTATTAATATGTGTTGTGCCACTCAGCCGAAGGCCATCACACTTATGAAAATGTAACGCCTAAATCAATATATTTACATGTTACTTTTTTTTATACATACAAAAATTGACATGAATTCTTATATTTTGCATAAAAGGCAGATTTATATGTATATATAGATCTTACCGATGGGACATAACAAATTTTGGCTGCCACCTGCGAAAATATTAATGATACATGAGTCCCAAGTTATTTTATTTTATTTTTTATTTTTGGTATTAATTAATTTCAAAAGATAAATGAAGAAACTTAACCTCATTTCCCCACCAGAGCGAGCCTTGACCATCAATTTGACCAGGTCCATGAATGCTGAGTCGATGCACTGATACGAAATCTATCCAATTTCTTTTTTCTACACAACCTTTCCATCCATCGAATGTCTTGGGTGCAGTGATGTTGCCCAAAAGCTACCCATCAAAATACAAATCATAACAACATTAATTATAAAATTTAGAACGATTTAATGACATTTAGTTTGAGTCTCATTAATTTCACCTGAACATTTACCACATGGTAATTGCATGGACCACGGAATGACACAGGTCCTATCAAAAAGGTCTTCGTTGGTATGATCATGGTGGGATCTGGCGAATCATCTCCACATAAATCTTCCCAGGTTCGAAGAAACGCCTGCGATGGTGAAGATAATTAGAAAACTTTGCATGGAATCTACTTATAATATATATATATATATATATATATATATATATATATATATATATATATATATATATATATATATATATAATATATTATATATATATATTTTTTTTTTCAGAATAAAAGTTGTAATCATGGCTTACTTCAGAGTCATCTGTATCCCCATCTCCTATTGCACCATAAGATGTTACATCAAAGATCCTGGCGTTCGCCATTGTTGTGCAAAGTGAGAAGCAACACAAGCTCAGCATGACAAACTTCAAGAGATCCTGCAAGGTTGAGTAATAAAAGTGTAGTGAATCTGTTAATTAAGTTTGTAATATTCATATAAGTATAGATAGTCTCAATGGGTCGGGATTTGGTCTGAATTCATTGATAATCTGATGATATGACAATGACCCGATTAATCGAAGTAGATTTTTCAAGACCCTTTTGGATCCATTAACTTTTTTTACTCTTTGGACTGAAGAACATATGTAATTAATGAACAATTTATACTTTAAAAGGTTTGTTGTCAAGAAATAGTCACATTCTAAAATTAATATGGTTATAAAGCTACGTACTCGCTGTTTAAGATGTTTTTCGTCGTTTATCTTTAGAAATTTCTATGCATTACATAAAACAAAAGCACATTTACATGTTAAATGGAGTACAACACTCGGGTTTAGTAAAGCACTGATGGTCGATCATGAAGTAAATTTGTATTTTGTGAAAAGGTTCATACCATAAAAGGTTAATCAATTCTTATAGAAAAGATATTGTTGCCACATCTTAATATAATGGACAGGTCTGACAACATTTGACATTATTTTATAAAAGTCTCAACTTCATCATTTTTTGTAAAACTTGTTCTTGTTGAAAGGATGCCGTATACAAAAAACTTATTGTCAGGTAATAATATACTTAATTTATTAAAAATCGTCAAATTAGGGGAGGGCCGAGAGACGATATGATAGTTTCACGTAGAATAAAAAATTTCTTTGTAGAAATTCGTTGGTTGAATAAATCAAACTTTATTCACTCGATCATATAAATATAAGACATATCTATATCATAGCAAACAAAATTTGACCCACTGATAAACTTATCTCCATGGACACTTCAGATGTAGATCTTGTTATATATCTTACCATCGCACTCAAAGTGATTGCACCTCTCGACTCTTGTAATTTGATTTAACCTACAAGTCACAGTCTCCTACATTTATATAGACAAAAGTTTAATAGAGTAAAAAAAAAAAAATTGAACCCAACAAAACCAATTTCATCCGTATATTTATTTTATTTATGGATGGGTGTGTACCAAAATAAAAAAATCAATAATAAAAAATAAAAAAAAAACTTTTTTTTTTCATTATTTTTAGGCATAATTTTATCCAAAAATCACCAATATATGGAAATTCATAATTTTTTTTATCCATAAAACCGTTATTTTTGTAAGTTTTTATCGGTTTTAAAAAAAATCAAATGTTAGGTCCATTAATATTTTCAAAATAGTATTTTTTTTTTTCAGTTTTATCATTTTTGCAAATTTATCCGGTAAAATTGATTTTTCTTTTAACAAACTTAAGAATTTTAATAATCCAGAAAATCAAACTTAAGGGATATTATGAACTAGACAAAAGGGTAAAACCAAATATTTCTGCCAAACATGACGACGTTAAAATGTAGAGGGTAAAATCATTTTATTTTATTTATTTATTTCTTTTGCGTATATCTAGTTTTAATGAACCTAAAATCTACATAAGGATAAAACAAAAAAACAACTTGCAAACTTTTGTCATTATCGTAAAAATCTAAAGAACAATATGGTCTCTTAAAAACTTCGATTCAGATTCACATTGCAGATTAATCTGAATAGTACCAAATAAAAAATCATACAATATCTATCTATTTCTTAGTTTGGATAATTGTCATTCACATATGAGTAATGATCAATATGAATTTTAATAATATATGCCATTATCTTAATGATAAATCTACACATACGGAATTTAGATATGAATTTGAATAAATATTCACATATACATTTCAATCCGGCCAAATTCACATATGAATGTGATTGATTTTTAATAGTAATCAAAATAAATTCATTTGATTTTTTTTCATTTAATATTTTAACATTTTAATCATACATAAAATTTTTTACTAAAATTACAAGTGAATTTTATCAAATTTACATTTGAATGATAAAGAATTATTAAAAAAATATGCGTACAATAATCACTTTCAAGTGAAATAATTATAGGTGTAAAAGTACTAGATACAAATTAGATATAGAATATCAATATTCACATACACGAAAAAAGAATTTGTTTAATTGTGATCCTTCTACAAAATTTATTAGGGTTTTTTATATTTTATTTTTTGAAAATATTAAAAAAAAAACTCAAGTTTTAATTTTTTTTTTTTGGTTCTCAATGCAACTCAACCTTTTATTCTTTTTAAATTAATTATATTTATACATTTATAAATAAATGTATTTTATATGTATGTATAAAAATATTTATAATGTGAACATTTATAGTACCTTCATCATTTACTTTTAGACAAAGGCATTTATTTTATATACGTATAGCATCCAACCTAATTCTTCATGTTCACACATACAAATTCATTTATATTTTTCAACAAACTTTATATATATATATATATATATATATATATATATATATATATATATATATATATATATATATATATATAGAGAGAGAGAGAGAGAGGATAAAATGATAAACACTAAAGGTTAAGAACCATTTAAAAACCATTTTTATTAAAGTATAACACCAGAATTCATTTTCATCTTCTATTATATCAAATCTATATATATATATATATATATATATATATATATATATATATATATATAATATATATATATATATATATATATATATATTAAAGGTGTTTGATGAAATGTTTCACTGAAAACAATACAAGATATATTTTTAAACTTTGAACAATATGAATAAATTTCTAAACTATTTTGTTATGTTGTAAATGAAAGTGTAGACTAGTTGTGAATAAGTTTTTTTTTTTATTTATTTATTTTATTTTATTTTTTATATCATTACTAAGTTATTAATGCATGGATTTTATACATATCTGACTATTTGAATTAGAAAAAATTTTAAACTATGAATGCATGATCTTTTTTTAAGTATTAAGTTGTGATTGCATCATTTTTGTAAGTATTAATTGTAAGTATTAAGTTGTGAATACATGATTTTTTTCATCGCTTTTAGTTGTGTTTAAATGAATTTTTATAAGTTCTAAGCAATATATATATATATATATATATATATATATATATATATATTATATTATATATATATATATATATATTTATAAGTTTTAATTTGAATTTAAATGTTTTTGTTATATTAATGTTTTCTTAAATAATGTGAATTTTTGTTTTTTAAGTTGTGAATTGTGATGAGTGTGTGAATTGCTATCTAATACAACTTGCAATGCTCCAAACATCATCAGAAGTAATTTTCAACCTGTAAATATATTTTATTAAAATGTGAATTTGTGTATTAAATTTTGAATTAAATATATTAAGTTGTTAATTGAGTATATTAAGCTGTTATTTATTTATTTTTATTTTTTATGAGTTTTATGTTTGCTTCTAAAATATAAGATTAAATAAGTATTATATATAGATTTTTTCTCTAATTTTGAATAAAATATGTAAAATTTAAATTGTGAATATTATGTAAATTAAAATTTGAAAGAAACACTAGCCCACATATCCGAATGTATAAATGTAAGCTTTAATTACAGAATACGTGAATGTATAGTTTTTGTGTATTAAACTGTGAATTTAATATACTAATGTGTTAACTTTGTGTATTAAATTGTAAATTGACTGTATTAAATTGTAAATTAATTGTATTAAATTGTGAATTTTATTTAATCAATTTTATGTTAAAATATGAATATTTGTATTAATTTTCTTGTGAGTATTTTTTGTAAAGTAAATATGTAAGATTATATTAGTTTTTATAATTGTTGCATTAAACTCTAAATTAATGTATTAATAGGTTATTAAATTGTGAATATAATATTTAAGTTAGTAATGCATGACTTTGTATATAGATTTTGTTTGAAATGAACGATGGTTGCGGCGTTGAGATAGATGGTTGGTGCTTACATGTAGTAGTTGGTAGTGGTGCTAGATTGTGGGTTTGATTCTCTTAAATTGGTGAATTAGTGATATTATGATTGTATTTAATTTGTGAATTTTATGTAGTAAACTATGAATTGACTGTATTAAATTTTATATTTTGCATAGTTTTTGTTTTAAAATATGAATCTATATATGAATGAAAATATTAGACTGCAAAAATTAAAATTTTATCATTTACGTACCAAAAATTAAAATTTTATCATTTACGTACCAAAAAGACAAAGACAAGTATTTTATTTTTTCATAAAGCCGTGATGCAACCAACAACTCCTACCACTAATTCCAACCGATGTGTGTTTATGATGATTTTTAACTATTAAAATTAGTTTCTTTAAATTCTAATATATGTTTCATCAAACACCAAAATATGTTTTATAAAAGTAGTATGCTTTTGATCCTTTAAATACTTTTTCGATTCTTTTAACCGTTAATATATTTTTCACAAAACACGAAAAACATAGAGGCATACTATTTTACTTTTATACATTCATACTTGAAGTTTGTTTCTTAAAATGCTAAATGTATGATATTTTTAGATTTTATAATTTTTTTCTGTTCTGGTTCAAGTAAGTTAAATAACAGTATAAACTAGCAACAACAACCACAATCTATACTTGAATGCCCCAAACCTCCATC